CTATGGCGCAACATACGTGCATGTCAGATCTAGCATAAGAAAATAATTGGCTTCGGAATCGATGAATATATCTGATTCTGACTCATTGTTTTCATAAACATCATTCAAACAAACTTATAGCTCAGACGGATTGCACCGAAGTGATTAATGTCCTTATCGAAACCATCACAATAATTTGCCTGCAATCTACGCGTTATATATATATATATATATATATATATTTATATATACATGGATTCTATATACATACCAAAGAAGTCGCTTCCTATTTCATGCTGTGCCGGGTAAATGTTCGTATAGAATATCACCGATATTTTTAGTGTTCATAGTAAATACAGGAATCTATAGCTCAAAAAGTTTCCATCATGCGTAGACCTAACGTTTTCCTAGTTCTATTTACATCTGCGGAGACCGGTATGATTTAACGTAATGCTACTACATTGACCAGTTTGAAATTCAAAACATCAGCGCAGGGTTAGTAAAGTCATGCGTCTCTTTTTCCCCGATCTCTTACTCAGGCATTTGTAACAATATGCGCACATGGTAAGAAGCAGTAACAGGCTTTCCAAACCAAGACCAAATTTTTTCGTGACGCAGATTTCACATGCATGCATTACTGGTCGAACACTACAGCAACTTCAGTGATGACTTTGGTCGTCTGTAAGACTTCGCCTGACTTCGTAAGGTGCGTTCGACGTTTTCGGCGTGTCGATGTAAACGATTTCCAAGTTGATGGAATCGTCTTTGTCGACGTTTTAGTCAACTCGTTCCTAATCTAGAAAAAGACCGCTCACTACAAATGCGGTCGTACACAGCATATCACGCGTCGATACTTTTAGTAAGTCTAAAGCATTCACGCCAGTGTGTGAAGCTTAAAAATTTGGCAGAACACCATTTTTAGCTCCATGACCTATATCACGTTTCAGATGAGCCCCAAAGCCTTAAACGCTGAGCCTGCCGTGGTGTAAAACCAATAACCCATACACTGCGTCAGTTGGCGCACACGATTGTGTATCATAGGCAAGTTATATAAACTGCATGCCGCATTGTAGGCGCCTTTTTCGAATTTGCAATTTCATCCACACACAACACAAAGTTACGTATTTTGCAACTACTTGCAGTTCGATGAACTGGTATAAATTAGTGCACGTGTTGTTATGCTGCACCAGTAATGTTTCATGTGATTTTAGAAGAGAGCGTGGTGTAACACAGAAATAAATGTCTTCCAGCGGTACCCCATAGAAGAAACAACATTGGCAGGCATTTATTTTTATTTTGCCCGAAAAAAATTCACCGAAACACGCTCTTTATACGCGACATGAGAACAACTGATATAACATAATATACCGCGCTGTAAATGGCCCCAGCCTTGCCATACATATGTATATATATATATATATATATATATATATATATATATATATATATAATTTTTGGCATGTATGCGAATATATTGGCATTTGCATCCACAATCTGATACTGGCTTAAACGTTTCGTCATGACAGGCCATGGTTACAGACCAGACGTGCATTACAAACCATTATGTAGGCAGAAGCATATACGCACCACACCGACATCATGTTTGAGGTTATACATTGGAGGCGTATGCGAAAATATCGTGATGTTTTACCTCTTCATTATCTCAATGCCATAGGTGTTACATGGGTAGTTACCATTCGTTACGCTGTCGGTTCAAAAATGTGCTTTCAATCGAGAAGTTATCTCAGACAGTCAAGTAATAATGCTTGCGGTTGCTCACAAAGCTCGCTGGGCTTGATACACGGAAATAGCGACCCAGGTGTAATACTTACCACATGTTGATGCAAGGGAAAATTTTAAAAGTGAGTTTGAACCTTGTGTGGATATTCCTGCTACTTCGTTCGATGGACTACGCAAGATCCTAAGCGCGAATTTGGCAAAACCGTGAGAAGGTATTTATGACTACCTGAAAGATGGCAATACCTTAGTCCCAACAAGGTAATCATCTTGCAATGTCCTTCAATCAGAAGGGATCATGTTAAATGATCTTATGTGAGCAGGCAATTTGAAATTTGGAGTAGACTAATGACCGAATGGAGAAAAACGCTGATTCATGATAGACAGATTGATAGGAGGTCTAGACTCCATTCTGCACCTCCGTGTTAGTCTCAGTGTATAGTCCACATTGATTACTGACGTACGTTAATTGGCAACCGAATCTGTTCGACATTGATAATCTGTCGAGCAGACTTCTTTCTAACGATCAAAGCTTATCATCGTGAAAACTAATCCATCTCTTCCAAATCACCTGACATATTTACCTCATAGGTTCCAAAAACTTCAAAATAGGTCACATTTAGCAAACATATACGTCTAACAAAACATTTCATCAGAGAACAAGGACGTATCATGGAAAAGTTCAAAGGATAACATGGTTTTATACTTTGCACCAGTGCTGGTTTGCTGTGGTGCGCCCAGCGGTTCAAAGCGGGTCTCGAGCCTCGGCTACCTCGCCAAACATGCCCGCAATGCAACCTCCGGCCTGGCCGGGCGGTGTGTGGATACTTCGAGGCAATAGCCCATGTCCTGATCAGCTGTTTGACACGATGTGAAATCATTATTGCCAGTGAATATGTTAACCATCCGCAGACGGAGGAATTATTAATGAATCTGTGCATATTAGATGAGTCGGCAAGAGCGCAAGAGCTGCTGGTTCTGCGGAGTTGCCAAAACGGGCACCGCGTCCCGTGCTCGTGCTCCGGGCTGCTGCCGTGGTGACCAGCGCGGCTGAAACGGAGCTCCCTAGACCCCAGACCTCTCACGAGAACACAGGTATATTCAGGTACATAACGGGGCCAAGCGAGAGCGAGATTAAATGCGATTAACAGAGCAGGGCAACAAGAACTCCTACGGCACGCGTGACAACACATTTCATAAACATCACATGTATGTATATATATATATATATATATATATATATATATATATATATATATATATATATATATATATATATATATATATATATATTTGTCGTGTCTACAAAGCATTCTATGTGGTTCCTGAAAAATATATGCCCATTTCGTCCCTGCGCTCAGTAACTATTCCGGGCTCAATGGTAAAAGACTAACATACTCAGTACTATGTGCCCAGTAATACCGCGCAGCACGTGCATTACGCGCGCAGTAAGAGTACGACAAGAAAAGCTTATGCCCGGACATCAAGCGCCGCAGTTTAGCACCGAGGATCAAGATAACCTTGCATGCATCGGTTTGTGCTAAATAGTGATGCACACACATATATACGCACACACACACACACACAATATATATATATACATATATATATATATATATATATATATATATATCTATATATATATATGTGTGTGTGTGTGTGTGTGTGGTGTGTGTGTTGTGTGTGGGTGTGTGTGTGTGGTGTGTGTGTGTGGTGTGTGTGTGTGTGTGTGTGTGTGGTGTGGTGTGTGTGGGTGTGTGTGTGTGTGTGTACGTGTATGCATGTGCTAACTCCAACTCTTAAGGATTAGTCCTTTAAGCTGCAGTGGTATAGAAGAAAAGAAGAAAACGAGAAACGGTGATTTTTAGAAATACAGTAGGCCACATTGCATTAGAATAGCTGAACTTGACGGCTTTACCATCGAACTAAACTTCCGCACATTGCATGCCACTGGACCAAAATTTCGAACAAATTACTGAGTGCGACTTATCAACGATAATACAGCGAGGCATTATATAGTTTTATGGTTACAATGAGCCCACGCCTTCCACATTTCGCAAGTGCCTCAGCGCAGTTTGCAGTGCACGCCCAGTACAGTCTGCCCGACCCGCAGAGGCACTGAGAGCTGATGACTCCCTGTATTCCTCACCCGAAGCGGTCAGAGTGGTGCATGGGTGCGCTCGTGCCATGTCATGCAGGCACTCATGCCCTTCCATCGATAGCGCGAGACAATGCTGTACCCCTAATGTGTTTAAAATGTATGGTAATAGCGCAGGCCATCAAGTGCCTTCACGTAAAGCGCAGCTGTGAGGTCTTTGGCAATGAACTTACAGGAAGCTCTGGGTCAGTATGTCAGCCCTAAGACGAAGTGGCGTCCCAGGCTAAACTAGCTACCAGATATGAAGCCACCCATTCTCGCATGTTACCGGTGAGTGCCGCCAATGTGTAGCCGGAGTCCCTGTCAGATGAAGGACCCATCCCCGCACGATAATGGCAATGACGTCATGCGAACAACGCAAAACAGGTACAACGAATGTGTCCGCACATTCCTGATTTGCATCAGAATATGCTTTAGAAACATGATCAGTTGATCAGGCGTTTACTAGCTCGTAAAGATATTATCATAGCTATTTTAGGCCCGATTGCATTTTTGCGCTGGAGAAGCATTTAAGAGCCTGATAACGCCAGATGGCATGCATTTCATCAAGCCCCCGAGCCTGCACCTACGGCAGATTCTTTTCAGCGAGCTCAACTCTCGCTACAACCGACAACCGTCCGTAGAAATAGTGGAGCTGTACCACCATCTAAAGCGATCGAAAGATGGATCAGATAGCACCAGTTCATCTACCTCCAAGCAGCGCCGTAAAGATAATGTTGCCGGGATTGGAGAGCGAGCGGCCACTGCTCCCTCATTCCGCCCGAAACGTACAGGGCTGTATGTCAATCGGAGCTAATTGTCCCGCCGTGTATCAAATCGCACAAAGACCAAACAACTTTTCTACCTGCGGATAATACGTGTAGCGTGCTAGATTAAGTATAATTGAATTATCGTCTGCTTATCGCAGGCAAACACGACTGAAATTATCTATTGGATATTTTTGTGATCATCAAGATGTCGACATCGGGACGGGGAAAAGAGGTTTATGTTTGAGTCTCTCCTAACTTTGGTTGCTACGCTAGATCACGCCGTAAGAAAGCATGCTATCCCGGACAAGCATTTAGTATTGTGCAAGCTTCAGCTGCAGCAGGTCCTACGCATGACATGCCATCAAGTAATTTTGATATGCACGGAACGGAAATAAAAGCTCAATATTAATGCACGTTAGCATGTATAGGCGTTATTATATACATTAGAATGCCCTCTCTCGCTAATCTCGTGACTAGCTTTTTACTACACTCTGGTGCTAACAGAGCTTCATCTACCACCTGATAAATATTGACCGTGAAAACATCGGGCCTGACATTGCCACTCAAATACGCCATTGAAGTGTCCACATAAAATTTATGCTTCGATTGCTGATAAACGTTATTCAGATATCAACGGTTAAAGCTTAGTCACGATGGCAAGTTACGAAAATAGCTTTGATCTACATATTCACACAATACTACATCAGTGTATGCTGTATTTTAGACAACACAAACGGCAAGACCACCACAGCAGCCTGCCAAGCCTGGTGAGGCCCGTCGGTACGAGTGTAAACAGAACCTGGTCCGTCCCAAAAGACCCAGCGTAAGAGGGGGGGGGGGGGCGCCACCCGCCAGCCCCACAACATCGTTTACCTCTAGCCTGGAAACGGAAGGTGCTGGAGCCCGTCCAAGTCCAGGAAGTGTGCAGCACCAGAGAGCGCCTTCTACCACCTCCATTCTTCATGTCATGGCCTCTGTTCCGGACCCAGATTGTGTTGGGTGCCGTTCCGCGGCCAGATGGCGCTAGCCACGGTTCCAGAACAGGACGGAGTGGCAGCAGTTCTGGGTCCAGATGGTGCTGGCTGCCGTTCCGGCACCACATGGTCCTAGCTGCCGTTCCAGGACCAGAGGCCGCTGACTGCCGTTCCAGGACCAGAGGGCGCTGGCTGCCGTTCCAGGACCAGAGGGCGCTGGGTGTACGGCCGCTCCACCGCCCTACTTGCCGTTCGCGTCGGCAAGAGTAGTTGGGGCGGGAGTCTGATCGTCTTGGAACAGCGGGTTTTTCACTTCCATCTCACCCGTCTGGGAACGAGTCGAATGGTTAATGCGTCATATCAACGATCATTTCGAGGCACAACATGGAACGGTATCGTTTGGCTGGTAGGATGGGCAAGGCCCTATAGAAATAACGTATTGAGATGAACGATGTGATTGACAGTTTTGCTTTATTCAACAGTTTCAATACGTAACGTCATCCTTGTGCTCTGGGAAAAAGTACTGGACTTGTCATCCGGCGGGAACTGGCACCTCTCCCAGTAATGTGCACTGCTTGGTCCGAGTGATCACGAAAAGTCGCTAGCGACAAGTCAAAGATCGCCGCCTGGTACGGGACGGCCGTGCCACAGTAGTTGGTGCCACGAGAAATAGCTCCCCACAATGCCATCTAATTCAAATGGTCGGAGACAAACTAAGCCGAACAATTGGTTTGGTGCAGCTCAGCAGGGGTGATGGGCTCGAATGCAAACGGCAATGTTTAACAACTACTGTGAGTGGAAGACCAGCAGTGCATTGCGTGGGGGTGTACTGTGGGTGCAAACACATCCACAAACACGTAACGAGTTAATGATAATTGCTATCAAATGGTTCGCATGGGTGGCAAAACGAAGGTGGGTGAAGTGTTGGTGACATATAAGAACATCAATGTGAAACGTGTGAGTTATGCACCCCTGGCTAACCAAATTTCAATGATGCTAAGAAAAACGACAAGGTAGGGGACAAAACTAAAAAATATCCATGAATGTTAATGATTGATAATTTCACCAAATTTGTTGTTCGGTGTTTTTGTAAAACACACTAAGGACGAAACATTTTATAACGCCGTGCTGCGGTCCGAACCATTGCTTGGTTCGTCTTCTTCTGAACTGCACGTGCTGATAAGCGATGAAAGTTCCAGCTTAAGGGATGATCTCCACAAAACGTCACGTTCTAGGATGCACATTTTTGCGATGGATTGGTTGAGCACTTTTCTCCGACATGATTCATCAAATATCCGAACTAATGTTTTTAAATGGAATGTTCCACATTTGAAGATATTGAAGCAAGCATCAGATATGATGGATCACTTATGATGGCCCAGTTGTAACTATTGGTGCGCTTTTAGCTGGAAAAGAGTGCTTTAGACAACACATTTCTCTGTCTGGTATATATGTTTCTCCATGCGGCATTGTTTGCTTCATCGTATTTTGCACAACATCGATTGAAAGCCAATTGGCGCCAGTTATATTTGGAATGCATATTGCACACGAACGTCAGATATGAACGACTCCAAGATTATATTTTGCTTGGCCTTGTCCACCACGTAGCTAATGGAATGGCAAGATCTCAATGACGCTATCTTGGGGACATGGATGCCTGGGCGGCCTTGAAAGTCTCCCTGACATAGTTCGCACATATTCGCGAGTATGCAGTTCAGAGACTACGGCGGTTTTGGCCTTAAGGTCAGGACTGTGAACTGCACCGAATGATCTTCAAGATAACTATTTCAGTTCGAAACCCCATGCGAATGTGGAGCACTCCCTTTAACTGAATTACCCTAATTTCCGAGTTCATACTGTGGTGCCGAGGCCTTTGTCCCAAAAAGAGCATGTTTAATGTCGTCATCTAATAGTTGCCGTTCAGCAAGTCTAAAACCCAAGCAAAGTTGTGAAAACACAAATATGCAAAAGTGTATTTTTTTATTTTTCTGAAAACTTCACTCAAAATCCGGCGGCGTAAAAAGTGCGACGCATAGCCCGCGTAGTAAGATCATAATTTTTATTGCTGAGCTTGTTTTGAAAGGCTTGCACCGTGAAATTCCCTTGTTGTGCCACAACAGTCCAGCGATATTGGGCCACCAACGTTCACACCAGGCACAGGTGGCAACAGGGCTGCTATGCTGAAATAACCGAACTTCGATACGCAACAACGTACTGAATTAATAAAGATATCCAGCAATCATATCGGTTTATCGAAGATTCAAGGCAATGCTTACGGTCACCGTCACGAAAAACATGGTTAAATAAAAGCTAAGAATAAAGATTTTTCATAGCGAACTCTGATTATTGGCTGATATTAGGATTTAAACAGCTTCTGATATTTTGGTGGTCGGTTAACTTCAGCAAAACCATACCGAAGGATAGGAACATTGGGCAATTGTGCCAAATGGCACGATATATTACATGACGTTACTTGCTGCATATCATTGCTATATGATGTGGCAGCGGTCACTACCATCGGGTCAAAGTAGATTTCATAACGGCCACACATTCGTAGGTTGCAACAGTGCGCATCAAATCTGCGCTGTGGATGCGTCACATTTCAAGCCTCACTTGACGCCGGGCTTAACGCGGCTACCGCCGGCACTCTTCACCCGCCCGCCCGAGGAACTGTCCAGAACTGTACACCGACGCATCGCCCCCAGGAATGCTGCCAGCGCTTTGTTGGCCGGGAAGGGATGGGCTGCGGACAGGTGCCTGCACTCACCGGCGCCAGGCCGGGACACTCGTAGACGGTGTAGTCGCCCTCCTCGTTCTCCTCCTCCGAGTCGACATCCGAGGCGGAGCCGTGCCGGCCGTTGTGGGTTCTGAAACAACGCCGCGTCAATAGAGACGCAACGGTGGGTGTGGGCGCTGTGTGCCCGACCCGCACCAGACGGTTGACGATCACGGGTTACTCCGCTCAGCGCCCTGAGTGCCCCCCACCAGACGGCTGACGATCACGGGTTACTCCGCTCAGCGCCCTGAGTGCCCCCCACCAGACGGCTGACGATCAGGGTTACTCCGCTCAGCGCCCTGAGTGCGCCCTCACCAGACGGCTGACGATCACGGGTTACTCCGCTCAGCGCCCTGAGTGCGCCCACCAGACGGCTGACGATCACGGGTTACTCCGCTCAGCGCCCTGAGTGCCCCCACCAGACGGCTGACGATCACGGGTTACTCCGCTCAGCGCCCTGAGTGCGCCTCACCAGACGGCTGACGATCACGGGTTACTCCGCTCAGCGCCCTGAGTGCGCCCACCAGACGGCTGACGATCACGGGTTACTCCGCTCAGCGCCCTGAGTGCCCCCACCAGACGGCTGACGATCACGGGTTACTCCGCTCAGCGCCCTGAGTGCCCCCACCAGACGGCTGACGATCACGGGTTACTCCGCTCAGCGCCCTGAGTGCGCCTCACCAGACGGCTGACGATCACGGGTTACTCCGCTCAGCGCCCTGAGTGCCCCCCACCAGACGGCTGACGATCACGGGTTACTCCGCTCAGCGCCCTGAGTGCCCCCCCCCCCCCCCACCACCACCACCAAACGGCTGACGATCACGGGTTACTCCGCTCAGCGTCTCCGCGTAATGTTCAATGAATCCGATTAGCCAAAGGTCAAAATTACTTTCGCTGCACCAATGGCGATACCATTTTTTTTGTCCTTGGCTTGACCTGAGTATTCTGGCGTAAAGCGCTTCTAGCGCAAGTCAGTTCGGTTCATTGCATTTACGGATCTTGTCGACGAATTAATTTTTCGTTAATATCATTTCCATGCGGGGAACTTTGCCTCAATTCCACGTAGGGGGTTGATTCGGTGCATCAGAGTCTCGATTCACAGGACCAATCTATAAGGTTAAGCTTCATTTGCATTATGTGAAGTTTTACGGCCAATGGCCAATCATAGCTGATCTATTGGGCTAAGTTAAGTTTAAGGTACACGCATGCTTGACTTAGCCTTCATGTTTGCAAAAATTATGTCTTACACCATTCCCTACATTTTGATCTATGGTCCCTGTCCCAAGTGGTATATACGCAAACGCACCATTTGAACTTTACTGGCAAGCGGAATGTCGGCGTACCGTTATCTTGAATATAGATATGAAAGATATGGTCAGAACAATGCACGTTAAACGCAGCGCTGATGTTCGTAAACAGTGATGTTTTTCATCATTCCCCACATCTCGGCACCTGGTACCATCCCTGTCCACCGGCACATTATGATCTGCGCTATTTGAACGCTAAGGTACGACCGGACAAATATATTACAAATCGTTCAAAGTTGTCCACTTTCAATCTCAGCCACACTTGAATCAGAATTTGGGGAGACACTTGAATTAAGACATGCTACAGCTTTGACCACACAGTATCTCTCCAACGGTGTTCGTAGTTCTCCCATCATTTAAGTAAAATAGCAAGAACTCCAAAACAACCAAGCAATGCCACCTGTCGTCCGCCGAACCATTCACAATTCGAGCTGATACCGTTCGCCACTCGCCGCTGTACGCAGATACCCGAGCACGCTCCGGCCATTCAACCATCAGCACCACGGCAATATAGCTAGATATAGGCCGTAATCTCCCGCCAGCTGGCGGGCCAACACGCCACCTGATGCGCATAGCTGCGACCACTCCCTCAGCTGTCGCCTACCAGGCGGTCCTCAGCCAAACTCAGCCTCAGTGAAACCCAGCTGTCGCCTACCAGGCGGTCCTCAGCCAAACTCAGCCTCAGTGAAACCCAGCTGTCGCCTACCAGGCGGTCCTCAGCCAAACTCAGCCGTCAGTGAAACCCAGCCGTCGCCTACCAGGCGGTCCTCAGCCAAACTCAGCCTCAGTGAAACCTAGCTGTCGCCTACCAGGCGGTCCTCAGCCAAACTCAGCCTCGGTGACGCAGAGGTCAGCCTCAGCTGGCGAGTAACTCAGGTACATTTGTCAACTGCAGCGGACCACCCGGAAAACAGACTTCGGGGTTCGGTGCAGTCATCCCGACTCGACCACGTCCAACCGTGGATCCCAGCCGTCCTTCCAGCTTCTAATCCAGCTTCCAATTGTCGGGACAGGCCCTCAATCACAGGGATCTGCTTCCAAAGTCGATGTGATTTAAAGCAGTCATGACTTTACCGCGAGGGAAACGAGATAAAAAGTTGGCACCAACGAGGTCATCTGAGTCCCAGGTTAACACATAAGCGCGGTGACCCACCCGTTGACCTCTTTCCCAGGTCCGGTCGCCGCCCCGATGACCTGCATCCACGGCCCAGATGTCGGCCTGGCGACCCATTCCCAGCTCTCGCACGACGCTTCCCCTCTGGTGGCGCCGGCTCCAATTAATCGACCGGAGCGGTGGGGACAGTAATCAGCCGTCGCCGCGTCCCCGGAGGCCGGCGCCACGCCACGCGGGGACGTCCCGGGCACCGGCCGGGCAGCGACCGGGCAGTGCCAGATGCTCTCTGAGCCTGAGCCGGCCGGCAATGAGGGGAGCACACGGCCCTGATGAGCCGAGCAAAGAGCCTTTTGTTGGTACGCGAAGTGCCTGGTGTCTTTTCACCGGGCCTGATAGTGCCTTTCAAACAGAAGTGCGCAGTTCGTTATGGATGGTTGGATAGCTGTTCGAGAGCTTACCATAGAATGCGGCGTCCGCACCCTCTTTTGCGCTGTACATCACTCCAGCCAGACCGACGGAGTGTTTCGAGACGCGCAGCAGAACACGCCACCGGCGTCACGTCCGAAGCGCGCCGCGACCGCCGGCGTCGGCCGCCACTCACTTTTCCATGGCCATCATCTGCTGCTTCTGGTGCTGGTAGTGGTACATCTGAGCCGACTGGGCCAGCTTGCGGTCGCCAGAGGGGCTGAGGTCGCGGCTGGGTCCGGTCACGCCGTAGGCCGGGTACTCGGCGTCGCCGGCCGCCTTGGCCCGCTTCTGCAGCCTGAGGTCACACCGGGAGGTCAGAGCGCCGGCGGGCGGACCGCAGCACCGCCCGCCGCGGACAGACGCCAACACGGCCCGAGCCACGACGCTGCGAATGAGGACGAGCCGGCGACGGTCGCTGCCAGATAAGCAAACTTATGAGACAGGAATGTCTCGCGGCCATGAGACCTGCACACATTGCACCATAAAATGACGGATGTGGCTTTCAAGGGAGCCTATCAGTGACGTGGCGGCATTAGACGGTGTGGTATTCAAGGCAAACTTGCCGTCAAGCCGTTGCGACCCGCAGCAACTTTAAGGCCGGACGCAGCTCGACGTCATCTACCGTGCCGTGGCGTGTATGAAAAGCACTTGAATGCGACAAATATCGAAACCACACGCCAAGTCTTCTTTGACATCACCTGACGCTCTACACAAGCACGTGGCTATGGCGTGCCCTTTTTCAAAGAGATAAAATAGAGGATGAAAAACAACGGAAAGATTAGAAGCAACAAGATAGAAATACATCCGCGCGGTGTCAAACAACCCTATTGTACAAAGAATAACTTGACAGCGCGCTTAAAGCTTGGGAACTTGTCAGATCCGTGTGGCTTCAGAGTTACACCTAATCATCACCTGTGGTAGCAGAAGCCTCCAGCCACGGTGACGCCGATGGCCATGGCGCATATCCCTGCTACCGTCACTGGAAATGGCAGCAGCCAGCCAGTCAGCCATGGGTCAGATATCAGGCAGCCTTTCAGAACTAGGAGACCTATGTCCAAATGCAGCAAGGGCCTAGCTGTACTTTACAAAGCAGAAAATGCATTAAGCGCTTGAAATAAGGAAGCAGGTACAAACATTTATAATGCCCACTGCCCCTGCGCTATCTATAACCCTCTCCGAGAGGGATTTATGAAGTGGAATAGTTCACGAAACTTTTCTTAGACGCTACATGTATAGGCATTTAAAAACATAAGAATAGTAGTCATAAGAGAAATTGCGTGTTATCTGACAGCAATGCATTTTAACACATATTCCTTGTGCGTTTCAGTTAACATGAATATGCTTTGTGCATGTGTCTTTTTGAAGCGCGCCATCAATTCCTCGAGCAGCAAATGTTGCGATTCATTGCATCACTAATGCCCTGGAAGGGTGCAATCAGTTACGACCAAGCTCCATTTGGTGGGCTGCCACTCACAGTGGCGATTTACAGCTCCAGGGCGTTCCGAGTAACGTCTGACTCGCTCTGCGGTAAACTGACGTGACTCGCTCTGCGGTAAACTGACGTGACTCGCTCCGCGGTAAACTGACGCGACTCGCTCTGCGGTAAACTGACGTGACTCGCTCCGCGGTAAACTGACGTGACTCGCTCTGCGGTAAACTGACGCGACTCGCTCTGCGGTAAACTGACGCGACTCGCTCTGCGGTAAACTGACGTGACTCGCTCTGCGGTAAACTGACGTGACTCGTTCTGCGGTAAACTGACGTGACTCGCTCCGCGGTAAACTGACGTGACTCGCTCTGCGGTAAACTGACGTGACCCGCTCTGCGGTAAACTGACGTGACTCGCTCTGCGGTAAACTGACGGGACTCGCTCTGCGGTAAACTGACGCGACTCGCTCTGCGGTAAACTGACGCGACTCGCTCTGCGGTAAACTGACGCGACTCACTCTGCGGTAAACTGACGTGACTCGCTCTGCGGTAAACTGACGCGACTCGCTCTGCGGTAAACTGACGCGACTCGCTCTGCGGTAAATGACGGGACTCGCTCCACGGTAAACTGACGCGACTCACTGCAGTAAACTGATGCAACTTGCCCTGCAGTAAACTGACGCGATTCGCTCTGCGGTAAACTGACGCAACACTTGGGCGACGTACGCGGCGCGGACGGATACCGAGAGCAGCTGTGCCCCCGGCTGGGGGGAAGGGGGGGGGGGAGAGCGACGGTCGGCAGCCGGGGCGCACTCCTCACCGATGAAGTAGATGTCGGCCATGTTGTCCCTGTTGGGGGCCGGCGAGAGCAGGGTGTCCGCCTGCACCCGCACCACCTGCGTGTCGGCCGAGGTCTTCTTCTGGCGGGGCTGCTCGTGGCTGACCTCCTCCGGGTCGCCGCGCCGACCGGCCGTCACCGCCGGCCCGGCCGGGGTGGGCGGCGGGGCAGGGCCGGCCGACGTCCGCCCCGCCCCGGTGACGCCTCGGCCGGCGGGGCCTGCCGGAGCGGGCCGGGCGTCAGCACTCTGATGGAGCTGCTGTTTCCTCGGCAGGCAGCATCGAACACGACTCAATCATGATGAATGGAGCAACAACCGCAATCAAGCCTGCATCTGCATGCTATCAAACCTAGACATTGCTCAAGCTATCGTGTGAGGTGGCGGAGGGGAAGACATCGGGAAACATGGCGTCCACTGATGTACACCAGCTGCTGGAATGAATCGAAAAGGGATGCATGGAATATGATGAACATCTTATGGCGCGCGTTTGTAACCATGCAGTTCGTGCCCATGGCATAGGGGAACGGCGTTCCGCCTCACCTCACATAATAACGTAAGCATGGCGATGGGTACGTCACATGGCGATTGTTGCCGTTTCTGTAAATACTGCGCGCGACTGCGTCCTCTGTTATGCACTGCAGCGTACAGCACCGCTGACAGCTGAGGTGACACGGGTCAGTGGTGCGCTAAGGGTAGAAGCTCAGAGCCGGTCGCCTTATTACCGTTTTGCCGGAGGTGGGACGTTAGCTCTTTGATGATGCCAGGAAGCCATCGACTTCAAAGCGGAGTTCGGCGTTCTGTTTCTTTGGGAGAGTCATATGCTCGTGACTACACGAGCATATCGAAGCGCAACATATAGCGAACGCAGTTATACTTTGCGTTACCTTTAGGAACTCAAAAGAATTTTCCCTGAGAGCAGGACGTACCTGACAAGCTATGCCACCGCCCCGTAAAAATCCTAGCAAAACAGCCTCAGCAATCCCGTAAGCCACTTACTAGGGCGGCTTTAGATCCGGCGGCTTATTCGAGCGGCAGACGGGCGGCAAGCGATCGAGCACAGCAATCCCGCAGCCGAGCCACCGCCTGTGAGCCCGAGCCACAGCCACCGGTCCTGAGCCACACCGCTTTGTCGCCGGCAGGACGGGCTTGCACGTGGACCAGAAATAGCCGGATGAAGTTGTCCATCTTAAGTGATCGTCGAATTCCAGAGCAAATTGAGCTATGCGGGTAGCGAGCCGACCGTGAACTTCTGAGAACGTCCCTTCCCGTCCTCGTCGCCGTCCCCCAAGGACAGATGCGGTATCGCGTCTCAGGCGAGTTGAGCTTCGAATGCCGTGACAATCGCCAGAAAACAAAACTTGAAGAAAATGAGCCCAGTTGTTTTCACAGCATTGGGCAGCGCATTGTTTGCCATGGATCTTCAATAGCCCCCTCCCCTGCCCCTTCCCGGATTCGCCAGCGCTAGACGCCATGTTCCAGGTAGCAGCAGGTCGGGCCCGTCTAGGGAAATGCGCTGGGCACGCGCGCTAGGTACCGGCCCGAGCAAGGCAATCCATCCTCGATCGGCTCTTCCACCGCGGCGGGCGCAATGTCTGGCGTGCTACGGACAGCGAGAAACGAGCCAGGCCAATTACTCGCCGTGCGGCTCGTGACGTCATCTCCGCAGAGAGCCAATCGTGGCGGACGCCGACAAGCGCTGCCGTGCTGAACACGAACTGCGTGCGGGTCGGGGCGGCGCGCTGGCGCGCCGTGACCCCCGCCAGAGTGTCGGGGTCGACCCCGCCCCACCTCCGTTGGGATCAATACGGCGGCCGAGCAAACTTATGTCGGATCGGCCGGACGCTTGCTGCGACAGCGCGCGTCCGCTCGTGTAGCTGCTCTAGTAGTGCTGAAAAATAGTGCCTCCAGTTTTCTTTCTGAGTGGAAGTAGCCGCTGGGATGGACTGAACGTAGTTTGCGTGACATGTTTTTTTCATGTTCTGAAAACTGTATCGCTTTCGCTCTGAGGCCTCCAGCGACATTTCAGAAGCATGACGGACGGTAACGAGCCTCGTCACACTGAAAGACAACGGACAAGTACGTGTTGCCTGCTCGCCTTGAACAGCGCGCACCCAGACATCGTGTTTCTCGCCAGCCAGGCGGCTTGTTCCGTCGTTAATCACGTCAGGCCGGAGCTGTTAACGGTAATGAATGCATTGGCGTGGGCTCAGTTTATCGCTGGTCGAGACTCGTGAGTATAACCAGCGATGACCATGGGCATACCGTGGCGTGATGACCCTGACCAGGGGGTTCCTGACCCTGGGACCCTGGGGGTTCGCTCAGGGGCGGCACGGACGCGCCGGCCGACTCATCTGGGGAAACCGCCCGATGTTTGGCTCCGTGTAACTTCCACCTGTTCCACAAGCTAAAGAACAGCCTCCGGGAAGGGAGCAGCCCGATGTTTGGCTCCGTGTAACTTCCGTCTGTTCCACAAGCAAAGGAACAGCCTCCGGGAAGGGAGCCACCGGGTGTTTGGCTCCGTGTGACTTCCACTTGTTCCACAGGCTAAGAAGCAGCTCCCGGGAAGTAAGCTCGTCTTTGATGAAGAACTGGGATAGCTGTGAATGCTGGGCTATAGTTACTACCGGTTGATTTTTCCGCGACGGCCTCGCCAAACTTCCTCGGCGATAACAGATCTGCCAGGATAATCATGGGGACCACATTGAACAAACGCATATTTGTTTAAAACAAAGTGTTTAAGGTATTTAGCTGTCTCCGATTCCTCCTTATATCCTGAACAGATTTAATGCTTTTCATTACTACGTAAAATTGAATATGCTTCGGTACTCAAAAACGTCGGAGTTTTGTGCGCCGCAAGCATTTCGTTGAGGAAGAAAGCAAGGCCACCTAAATTGCATTGGCTCACAGGGCACAGGGGGCGTAATGGCCAGGTGTTTAGCACCTTGGATTCCTACTGGATCCGGATTCTTGTTGGCGGCCCGGGGTCGAATCTCGGCTGCACCCGTAGCCCCCGAACGCGAATATGGCCAATATAGTCGTTGACACTCCATAAAAACGCAAGGTGCAAATTCCACGCAAGGTGCTGGAATGACCGCCTAGCCTTTCTTAAAAACACTTAGGAATATTTACCGTGTGGTTGCGAGCCGACCACCATGTCTGCTGGTACGATGGTTACTGCTATACCTGGTAACAAGATCACGAGCGGGTGACCCGTGCCCGGATGTCATCACAAGTTTTCTTGCTGAAAGCCACTGAAGCCTCCATAGAACATTGCTGATACGTTCGTATTTCCTTCGCCCGGAAATAACTCTGGCTGTAAAGTTTAAAAGCTTCTGAAGTCGGCCTAGTTGAGCGCTGCTGCTCGCTCCGTATGCGATGAATGGTTTCGGATCAACGACATCACTAGTCCCTCTACCAGAGTGACCAGGGTAGATTGTTATAGACTATGCCTGCTATGGCTGAGGCCACAGAGCATGCCTGTACATCGCCGCACAACCGCGTCAATGCGGGCTGCGAATGTCATGTGGCGTTCAAGTACGATACCTAACCTCCGCACAGTGGGAGAACCAGCGACAGCGGCTCCCATAAATTCAATACTGATGTTGGAAAGTCGCGGAATGTTTTGACGAAACCCAAGAACTGTGAGCTAGATTTTCTGTGCGTTGATTTTCACTCCGCTTGTTGCCAAGCCAACGAAGAGAAGCAAAATATTTTGTTTCGTGGGGTTTCATATCATAGGATAATAAAGAAATCCGAGTCACCGACTTCCCAGACACGAGAGCCTGAGTGTTGCCTGCATATTGAGCAATGCCTGCGCATCTGAACACAAAAGCAAGTCATCGACATAAGCCGAGTACAGCAAGAGTGTAACGCTGACTCTTGGCTGAAATTTGTGAAACAACTCTTCTGTGATTGGTCAGCGGCTCCGTGCTCATGCTGACCGCAGTGTCGTAGATGGATTAATGCTCCTTACAGCTTTCACCTGTTTTTTTTTCAGACTGAAAGCTGCATTTGAATCGTTTGCCTTATTCTATGCCTTGAGGCGGTGCAGTTTCTGGTGCCATCACGTGCAGTGAAGACTAGTTTTTTTCATCTACCAAATTAATTTTTACTTACGCCCAAATAATAACGCCATCCTTAACATCACCTTATAGTGTGCATTAGTTCGACAAGTAAGGTAATTTTGAGAAGGGCCGCTTTACCAAAACAGGCAGAGCAGCGCAGCTGGTCGGCTAAGAGTTGCGCCGGCCAAACATCCGTCTTCGAGCATGTTTGCCAGCGACTGGCAGCGGCGCTCCATACACCATCCTCGTTGAGTCCCGACGCACCATCGGAGTCTGTGCGAACGAGCCAGACCTTTAGATCGCCGACACAGTGGGGCACGTGGGTGGGGCTTCGCCAGAGTGCGTGCCGACGCGAGGACACGGTGGAGGATTCGGCACAGGATATGGAGGAGTAGCAATTGGAGGTGGAGCATGTGATACAGCACAGCTCCCTGTATGTAACTTTGCGATACAACAAAACTCATTTACCACCCGGGGTCACAGCCCTTTTAGGCTGTCAGTTTGCGACGTATCTATCTAAACTGCCGCAGTCCACGGTCGTGAGAACAGATGGCAATGCTGCTATGAGATCTGCGTTCTCTTCTCTAGCGGCGGCTATCATAACAGCCTTATCTGCCTGAGTAGCATTGTCCGTCTCCTTGCTTCCTGCTACGCCGCATTTCCCCGCGAGCATGGCATTGAGTCGGCTCCATAGACTCACTCAATGTCCATCATCGCCAGGGGCTGGTGCGCCGTCTGGACGCCGCCCTGCACATGGCGTACTCCTGAGAGCCATCCCAGCGCCGTACTCGGAGGCGGGATTGCTCGCCGAAGTTTTTGTTTCGATATTTGACGGCACTGGTGACCTCGTCATGGTACACTTCAGTGATTAATAAGAGCGACAATGATATCCGAGAAAGTTGTAAATCAATAGTTAAATGAGTGGCAGCATGAGAAATGCTTCCTCTTGCGCACAGGGAACTGCAGCTCACCCGCCGCAAAGCTATTTCAGGAGTACTGCGCTGCAGTGCCATGGCGACTGCATAACAGCTGCTCGTATATATTGATGGCGGTTTATAGCACACGGCCGGAACTTTGCAAATATTCGTAACATAGAGAGCAAATGGCTAGGAAGATCCCAGACGGATTAAGCGCCCGGACTATGGCCCTCGTCTAGTGTGCCAGCAAGTGCCCAACGCTTCGGCCTTTTACTCTGCGGCCGTCGTCAGGTGCCATGGGGAAATGAAAGGAACTGGATGATGTTTGGCTTTCAGCTACGTATGCACCACAACCCAGATTCCCTTCTTCAAATTGCCTGGATCCGAAGCGGGAATTACGAGTTCAGTGCCCTACCAGCTGGGATAACTGGAAAGTACATCTCTTGTTCTCCTCGGTTAGCTCAGGTGGCAAAGCACTGGAGTCGCATTAGAAGACCCTGGTTCGAATTTCGACAAGTTCAGGGAGATAATTCGGACCGTAACGCATGCATGGCTGAAAATCAAACATCATCCAGTCCTTCTCAGGACTTCATACTACCTGACCACGACCGGACAATTAGATAGTCAAAATGCTGCGTACATTTGTGTCCGTTGTGTACACCAGACAATACAATATGTGAACAATTATTCCATATAAGATAGGATCGCCTGTGGCACGGTGAAGAGCCATAACTTAATGTCTCCCGCGCCGAAGTTCAAGGAAGCTGATAGTTGATGGTGCAGACATTGGCTTCGCATGAACTATGCATCAATCAATTTTGCAGCCATAAAACGAAAACGGCAGCGGTAGCTGCCTGCTGAAACATAGATTGGCTAACTTCGGACAATCCCTCCAAGCACCGAAATATCGACACCGCACTAAAATAAGAACGTACCGTGCCCAATCCTCGATAGGGGGAAATGATGGTAGTGATTGTCGGAGCTACGCATTTCACATTGCTGGGCTTCACGGTGTGGTTATAAGCACCACAACTTTACACAGACTGGAATCCTGCCTGTCTAATGTTCCATTTCGAGTAAAGTGGACGGTGTGGAGGCAATACAGTATTGCCACCTGAGGAGAATGATCGAGGACGCTCCTACAGCTGAGGTTTGATATGCCGGTGTATAGTCAACGGGAAGACCTCACTTTCCGTCAGCGTGAGCAAAGACAACTTGGCCTCGTTTGACCGCAACCCTGGCACAACGCAATACCTATGCAACTGTCCAAACGCTTCAAGCGCTGTCCGGTTTGCTGCCCACCGTTTGCCCGCCTTACCGGGCTAATGTCTTGAATATTGCGCACTTGCGATGACCTTGCTTAACCTTAAGCACCTGGGATAAGCCAGGACTCCGAAAATTGCATAACCCTAGCGTCATGCTGAGTAGTGATCACAAGACCCCCCCCCCTCACCTTTTCCCCCTGCGCTCCAACGCGTGTCATACAACAGGGCCTCCAGGCCACGCACAAAAAAATACCTTGCAGGTGTCATTAGTGGAGCAGCACAAGTCCCATTCAAATATTGCTGATTCATGAGCATTGCACGATAGTTTCGGCGCCATAAGTATTTGACAAATTCCAGAGTAGTTTCATCACCCGTTTGCGTGGCTGGCTTTGGCTCAAAATGGTTCACCTCAGCACACTCTGCGATGAACTCAACATGCACGACAGTTCAGCCGATGCCAACTTCACATTCCAACAAAGAACGTCCGGTAGCAAACTTCACCGAAACGCTCCGAGCTGGGGCGGTCGGAGGCCAACAGCGCACATGACAGCCTCCCACGGCCTTCAGAACTACGGCGTTCGGAGACCAGCAGTGCACGTGATGGCCTCCCACGGGCCACGTCCGCCACATGCCCGACTTCAGGGCACGACCCCAGGCGCCGACAGGACGCGTGCCTGCCACAAACATGAATATTTTCGAAATGCACTGACCGCGAACAAATTGCTGTGTCCAAACCAACCTCGCTCCCCACTGGCCCAGCTCACCGCCGCCTGGCCCTAACACCGCCTCAAACTCGACTCACCTGGCCTCGTGGCGGCTCTGGGCGCGCCCTGCTTCTGAGCTGACCCCGTTGGGTCATGGCGGGTCGCGGCCAGGGGCACCGGCCGTGGCGCGCGGTACTCGGGGTCGCTCGGGTAGTAAGCGAACTGACGCTGCGGGTGGCCGGTGGTCGCCGCGGTCGGCTCCGGGCGGTGGGTGGTCGGCGTCTGCTGCCTCTGCGGGAGGGACGCCAGAGGCGACAGTCAGACGAGGTCACCAGGTGACGCCGCCGGTGCTATGTGTCAGGACGGGCTGACAGGCGCCGTGACGTCGTGACACAGCCGCCGCTGTGCGAGGCTTCACGGTCGGCCGGCTGCGCGGCTGTCGCTGTCAGCCATGGTCCCCGCTGCCATGACGATAAGCTCACCGACAGCCCCGGAGCCCAGGCGGGGCCTTCAGTGGTTCGGATTTACTGCAATTCTGCCAGGTCCAAATCGTCGCCCGGTGAAGCCTTTGCGCTCATTTTGACCGGTTTTAGCTCGGGCGCACGAGCTGCCCGCGATCGGGAGTCGTTCGCTAAACGAGCACTCATACTGGGGCCGTCATGAGGGCTATGGTCATCTGTCTGGACTGGCAGCCGTGGTCATCCGTCTGGACTGGCAGCCGTGTCATCTGTCTGGACTGGCAGTCGTGGTCATCTGTCTGGACTGGTAGCCGTGGCCATCTGTCTGGACTGGCAGCCGTGGTCATCCGTCTGGACTGGCAGCCGTGTCATCTGTCTGGACTGGCAGTCGTGGTCATCTGTCTGGACTGGTAGCCGTGGCCATCTGTCTGGACTGGCAGCCGTGGCCATCTGTTCGAACTGGCAGCTATGGTCACCTGCCCAGACTGGCAGCTGTGGCTATCTGTCTGGACTGGCAGCCGTGGTCATCTGTCTGGACTGGCAGCCGTGGTCATCTGTCTGGACTGGCAGCCGTGGTCATCTGTCTGGACTGGCAGTCGTGGTCATCTGTCTGGACTGGCAGCCGTGGTCATCTGTCTGGACTGGCAGCCGTGGTCATCTGTCTGGACTGGCAGCTATGGTCACCTGTCCAGACTGGCAGCTGTGGCTATCTGTCTGGACTGGCAGCCGTGGTCGTCTGTCTGGACTGGCAGCCGTGGCCATCTGTCTGGACTGGCAGCCGTGGTCATCTGTCTGGACTGGCAGCCGTGGTCATCTGTCTGGACTGGCAGCCGTGGTCATCTGTCTGGACTGGCAGCCGTGGTCATCTGTCTGGACTGGCAGCCGTGGTCATCTGTCTGGACTGGCAGCCGTGGTCATCTGTCTGGACTGGCAGCCGTGGTCATCTGTCTGGACTGGCAGCCGTGGTCATCTGTCTGGACTGGCAGCTATGGTCACCTGTCCAGACTGGCAGCTGTGGCTATCTGTCTGGACTGGCAGCCCGTGGTCATCTGTCTGGACTGGCAGCCGTGGCCATCTGTTCGAACTGGCAGCTATGGTCACCTGCCCAGACTGGCAGCTGTAGCTATCTGTCTGGACTGGCAGCCGTGGTCATCTGTCTGGACTGGCAGCCGTGGTCATCTGTCTGGACTGGCAGCCGTGGTCATCTGTCTGGACTGGCAGCTATGGTCACCTGTCCAGACTGGCAGCTGTGGCTATCTGTCTGGACTGGCAGCCGTGGTCATCTGTCTGGACTGGCAGCCGTGGCCATCTGTTCGAACTGGCAGCTATGGTCACCTGCCCAGACTGGCAGCTGTAGCTATCTGTCTGGACTGACAGCCGTGGTCATCTGTCCGGACTGGCAGCTGTGGCTATCTGGACTGGCAGATCTGGCCCAGGTGGCCGAGTCACCACAGCATTCAGCATGGAGGAAGTATCTTCCTGGTCGTTGTTCGGCGCGATTGTAAAAATGGCTGAAAGGCAGCTGAGCTGCATCACCGGATAATTCGCACTATGTATGCATACTCTACTTCGTAATGGGCGCTCAAACTCGGGCTATCTTAATGTGAAATGGTTCTGCTTTTAGAGCCGAGGTGGTGAAGCAAAATCTGCGTTGTCCATTGGAATCCAAACGAGTATGTGTAATCGCACCGTTGACGTTCAGGCGTGATGCTATCGCTCAAATTGTGCGGTTGCTACTAGCTATGCTGACCAAGCAAGGCTTTGGAGCGATAAGAGGACATCAGTCTCCCCATGTCTCTGCATGACGACGCGTGACTTCCAGCATAGCTTCTTACCGACTAAAAGCATTTTCTCAAATAAGTTTGTAGGCCCCCAGAACGTGACAGATGTTGGGCTGCATCCCGCCACCAGTGGCAAGCTATGTGAGACACAGCAGAGGGGTGCACCACACTGCTGAGCGGGTGCCAACGCCCCGCACGGAGACGGCGCCGACGAGGCTGCTCCGACTGCGACACTGGGCCGGACGCGTTCATCGATCATGGGCGCCCCTGAGCCGAGCGTCGTTCCGACGCCGTCCGCGCGGCCCGGCCGGCGCACGGGACGACGCCGTCGCTCCCTCTCTTCCTCCCATGTACCCAGGCATCGGGGTCTCGCAGGCTGCGGCCAAGGGGGAGGGGGACTGGGGCTGCACAGAGCCGGGCCTCGCGACGGCCAGACCAGCTCCAGCTGCTCTGCCCGGGCGGGGCACGCGCTCGAGGCGCCGCCTGGTGTCGGCCGGCCGCCCATACGGAGGGCTATGCCAAGCGATGAGTGTGTGCTCAACAGGACTTCCTGCTAGGCCTTTGCTCATGCTCGACCCCAAATGAGAGCCTAGCGGCCGACGATCGGCGCTGGCAGTTGGAAAGCTAAGGACGGGAATGGGCATTTGGCCGTAATGGGAAGCCTTTACTGTTACCAGAACCACGAATGTGTGGTGATGAGACGGCTCGGCGATCAACAGCCCTTGCTTGCGGTGACCAACAGCCCTGCCGTGTAATTTCAGCTGTCGCCAGGTGGGATATGATAACATCATATTCCTTCCAACATCTCCTTGCGTTCAACTTTTAAGATTTAGGCTTTTAAGGTTTAAGTTTTTAGAGATGCCTCAGTACCACAAGCGAATGCCCCGACCGGTACAAGGCCAGTGTAGTGCGCTCCCACCTCCGAACAGTCTTCAACCTCAGCTCTAAATGGACACAACTACACAGTGAGCTGTGGCACATCAAACAAGTAGTTGTAAATAGTGGCTACTTCAACGGTGCCATCGAGCATGATATCAGTAGCTTTATGTCATATCAGACAAAAACTGGCGCCATCAACCATCAACGAAATCAAATCAAACTACAATATTAGAATCAAATGTCTGATAGTTATAAGACAGACGAACATAGCCCGAGGAAAATAATAGCTGACAGCGTCAAGCCAATCTCCCAACACAAGATAATGTTCACCACGCATTACAAAAACGGACAGGTCACTTAAATCATCGCGAGAAATAACCTCACAGCCAAATTTGAACACTTGAAACCAACCAACGTAGTTTAACAGTTTCGTTGGAACATCGGAAGTTGCAGGCTCCTAAAGCAATCAAACTACGTTGGCGTCACTACCACAACACTTTCAAGGCGGTTGACGATGCACTTGGCTGACGGTGCTCTAAAATAGCACGTGAGACAGCATCACGGCCGGAACATCACCCGAGAAACCATAAACACCATTATCATTAAACACCATCATCATAATATCATCAAAGAGAAGGAAGCTTTAGGAAGGAGGAGGATATTTTGAGGCTATCATCATCAGAGCATCGTCACCGGAAATGAACAGGCAAACTTGCCCCTCAGCCACCCTTTAGTTTTTTAAGGGACGATCGCTACTATCACTATAGATGGCATATTTCACTATTCAACACGCCTTTTGCCGCTTGAATTCATATGCTCCCAAAAACGTCAACCACCTAATTTAGACCGCATCACTTGATGATCCAACTCGATATGGTTATACCTATTTGCTTTGCATAACTGTAATACGCAATCATATATTCGTCGCTTTTATGTTGCATATGTAAATCTTTAAAACGGAATATGTAATTCCAAAGCGTTAGGCCGACCAAAAGGTGCCAAACATTGGAGAGTTACCTTTTAGTTTGATTGTTAAACAGACAACCGTAATAAGAAAGCCAGACCAGGCGCAGTAAAAGCTGATGAAATGCGCTCACGCCAAGGTCTTTAACAACACTTCAATAAAAGATATTTTGCTGCCTACATATACCTATATACATATATATATATATATATATATATATATATATATATATATATATACATGTGGTGAGAAAACTCACGTTTCCAGACCGTGCTGATGGTCACGAATCCGCAAAGTGAAGAAAACCTAGTGTTCAAAATCTACGATACGCAAAACACAGGAAATGTTCTGAATCTGTGCGTCATAATAATTGAGCCATCAAGCCCTCACACACACACACACAGCACACAGCATACACGTCACACGGTACTCTGCCAAGGGCTTCACAAGGCAGATGGCTTAGCTGAAGGCCTTAACGGCCTCAACCGAATATAAGGTCAGACATGCACTTCCCAAGAACGTCAGGATATCCAGTTCGGCTCTTGCGTTCTGACATACAAGACACTGATATACCAGGATCTGGATAGGGTATAACCCGACACGAGGACGAACAGAACGACATTTGATATGCAGAATACCTGCGATGATGTTCTTTTAAATGTACTTGTAACCTTATACTCGGATCCGGCTGTCAGGACCTTTTGATTGAGCCGTCAATGTCTAATGCAGCCATGAGTGTAGTATCGTGCATCGGATGATGGGATCGCTTGAACGATTGATTATCATGTCAATTAATAGTCGTGATTGATTGTATATTGAACGATTGATAACTATTGATTAGATTGCATTCTCATTTTTTGGCATCGTCTGTCCGTCACCGGAAATGTTCGGCCTTCCATGAACTAAAGACTTTTCAGATTTGTTTTTGTGAAACCTTGTGAGAGACCTTATATCCTTGTGTATATCATTATATCCTTATATCCCTGACCTTATATCAACTTGGGAGACTCGAAACCGCGAAACAACAAGTTTTCTCTCTCTCTCACACACACACACACACACACATACACACACACACACACACACACGCACACACACACACACACACACACACACACACACACACACACACACACACACACACACACACACACACACACACACACACACACACACACACACACACACACGCATACGCACACGCACACGCACACGCACACGCACACACACACGCACACGCACACGCACACACACACACACACACACAAACACACACACGCACACACACACACACACACACGCACACGCACACGCAAACACACATACACACAGTAGTGTACATATATATATATATATATATATATATATATATATATATATATATATACATATATACATAGATACATATACATATATACATAGATACATTATATACATATACATCCATCTTTCATGGATAACGTCATTTAACCAGCACCTTCTGGCATATTTAATGCTGCTTATCTTTGCACAATTAACACAAATCCACTAAAACGAAGAGCAGCAGACCTCTTTGTCTAAGATAATCTAGTTTTCAGATAAGTTCGGGTGGTGGCAGCGAAGCGCGCGATAGCGCGTGTGGATAGATTAGCTCACTCGCATCGTTGAACATGCCACCGCTTGGCGCGAGAGAGAATGTATATATGATCTCCACTTTCTCAAGTGCTTACTGTTTCGCTCCAAATAGGTACAACGAATCTTTTAGGATTTGCCAGGCTACCAGTTTGACACATTCTAATCCAATATATTGCTAGGTTAAGTTAGGTTATGGAGTCAAGCGGTTCTCAATAAAGGCGTGCAGCCCGATCTTTCCCCTGCATTTATTTATTTGCAGTTTCCTGGATTGCTTCCAACGACTTTAATCTGCAACGGATGTCGAAGTAACAGTTACATCATGTTGCGTAGTCTCGACCCTACCTTATTTTGATCCTCATTTGCATTATGATACATTTTTGAAGTGCCATTGCATCGTTTTGTTGGGACCAGTGACCGTGCTTAACAGGTATTGTTGCAGACGTCGCAGGGCCCTAATTTCTTATAATGTGGAGAGAAATGCATCCTATGCAGTGCCGGGTTAAATAAAATCAGTCGGGAGCATGAATCAACACGGGCAACTAAAAGTGAAGTTAAAAAGTGTACGAAAAAGTGAAGTAAGACTATATGTTAACTTGCACCAAAAGAAAATTAGGATTATTGCTGTAAATACATGAACCACAACTATGGAATCACAGCACGTGAGGAGCAATCTGAATTCAAATAACGCATATAGCTGGATATCACGTAGATCGGTGCTGTTCGGTTGATGGTTCGGTGAACGCAATGTTTACTTAAAAAACTCTGCTGTTTGTCTGAACATGAAGTTGAAGACCTGACCAGCCGCGACCTTAATCTGAAAAAAGCTTGCAAAAATAAAGGGAAATGACCGCGTTTATCATGAAAGGCAATATACACAAAACGAGCAGAAATATTGAGATAGTTGTTGGTACGAGCTGCCGCACTATACCAAACTCACAGCGCTAAGAGTTCGTGACGGAGAGCCGGTGTCCAAGAGAATGTATATTTTAATATATATCCCCCTGGCTTTCATCCCGCTACCCGCGAGAGCCTGATGGCTCAACGTCCCCCCCCCCCCCCCCCCGTCTCCTGGTATCTAATGGTATAGTCGTGTGACCGAGGAAAGTTTCTATTACAATTCGGTGCAACATTAAATTTGATTCGTTTCTTCGACAATTGTAAGCTTACCTCACAAGTCACGCGACCTCTGATGGTATCTCAGTGTGACCTCGTATAGTGTGACTCACCCTGACTGGCCGGTGGCCAAGCCAGCCGACAAAACACGTAAAATAAAAAAGCAAACTGCGAGCTACTGCATGTAGAAGCAAACTCCGCGAGCAAGTCCTCACTCATGACGTCACCACTTAGCACCTGACTTAATAATGAACGTGCTTCACTTCAAGGCGTCACCTGAATCACTTGCCAAGAGACACAAATTTGGCAGGCCCACCTGGCAGCATGCGAAACTTATTCACGGCTTCCAGATAGGCCTACTTCACCTTCACATGCCAGTGGCCGTCAGCTAACAGCGATCTGAGCTACCGTAGATCGGTGATATGGGAGAGATATCAATGGGAATTCGAATCCCTTGTTGTTTGTTCGAGGGCTAGGCGGTCAAATGTCATTATGGTCCTCAAACAATTCGGAGATGCGACTTTAAAAGCCAGAGGGCTGTTCATTCTCCATCTCTGCATGTTGAGAGGCCTCACATCTGCCCATGGTTTTCGAGATTTGTTTATATATTGTGTATGATCTGTGACTTGTGTCGACTTAATGATTCCTGGGTGGGGCTGACCAATGCTATCGATTGCCACCGTAATTTGCCAATCTGGAAATGGAGTCGTAACCTGAGATGACAGGGAATCCCCAGGCAATCGCGAGTGGTAAAGCACCCCAGGCGATGCCGGACTGGATAGGGTATCGCCCACGGCTCCATCCGTGTCACGAGATGGCACAGAGCAGAGCCTCAGGGGACGAAGACTAGCCTTGCCAGTGCCTTACCTTCTGCTGTTGTAGTTGCTGGATCTTGGAGATGAGGTCGTCGATGTTGCCTTCCTCCGTGCGGAGGGCACGCAGCGGGGCGGCGTCTGCAAACAGGACAACAAAGGTCACGTGATGAGGTCGAACGTGTCGCCGACAGGTGGCAAGGAAGTCAGGATGGTCAGTGAAGGCCCAGGTCAGGTCAGCGAGGGATGCAATAGAGCCATTTGAGCAGGTGCATACATCAGTTCAGTCCATGTATTGAAGCGTCAGCAGGGGCTCGGGCCGCTCCGTGTGCAGACTGGCGCCTATACATCGACGAAACGCGCTATAGAGCTCCGCCAATCTGTCTCGAGGGACGAGATGTCTGCCTATCAACCCTGGCGTGCAAAACAACCCTGGATCTGCGCCGTTCCGGAAACAGCGGACCTAGAGCCTTAATGAGAAGTCTATCTGCCCGCGTAATGACCTCGGGGAACTGAAGGGCTGCATTGCATGAGATCGATGATATCACACCAAAAACGAAGGTCTGCGTGTCCTGGTGGCGTTGGCTAGTGCTGATATTCTAAGCGATACTTACCTATTACGTAATGTTAATTCTCAAAGCTGCTTTCTTCGACTTCCAGCCTTGTCAACCAATGTATCTGTATTGAAATAAACGTTCACAAATAAGACACATCTTTCAATTTAACATTAGGACAACTATTGAGATGATGTTCTTGAACGTACAAACATGTTATGATTAAACACAACGTGTGCCTTCATAAGAATACCAACGATGTCGCCGCTGACAGCGATATGAACAACGGGGCGTGGTAACCGGTATGGTACGCGAAGTTCAGTGGACCCGTGATAGTTCGGCCTTAATGGTCTGAAAGTTTTCGATGGGAAACCACGTTCGGGAGCCAAGTGCCAAGTCCTGACTTTGAAGTCTTTAACTTCTCAAGGCAATCTGAGAAGAAATCCTTCAATGACGACGACCATTTCCTTCACGCCAATCAGTTCACTGAAAAAAAATATTTTTGGCTGTCTTAGATGATGAGAAACCCTTTTTATGTCCATGAAAATGGCTTGTTAATCAGAGTGCTGAAGAGACATTTTTAGGCCTTCTTCTCAGTTTTTTAGAAACACTGCGAGTTCAGGGAATGATTGTTTAGGCACGAGGATCACGGAAACGGCAACAGTTATATGCGGAGCTTAGGGCCTCCACATAGCTTGAGAACCGTTGAGCATGATAATTCCTTAAAAGGGGAAGGAGGGGGTCAACAGAGTTCAGATTCCAGCAGATGCTCATACCAGATTTGGGACTCTGCGCAGCTCCGATGACCCATATCACATATCTTCATATAAATACTGCACTGTTTCATTGTACAGTTATTTGTGCTATTTGTGACTTTTTACATGCTGCTCTTCGCCAAGTGCGGTGACAAAACAATGAAATTTAGCTTGATTGACCTCCGTCAAAACGGAATAAGATCCGAACAAACCATGCCGGACTTCCAGGCCTGTTCTGTACCCGGTGTTCCCCAAAGGGCAAACCCGAAATGTCGACTTGAATGTATGTATGCGCATGCTTGTAGCTCAGGCTCACCTTACGTCAATCCTGCATTGCTTTTTATTTAAATCCTCGATCGTTCAATGGATTTCTTAGTATCTCAAGAGCCTTATGGGATACTGGCTGCTTCAGTGCGGTAATTAGATTCAGTATGGTAACTATAGCCCTAAATATATTTGATATCAGCTAAGGTGTTATTTAAAAATTGCCTACTACCCCAAACTGACACATTCTGCTTTGTATTTGCGATTCAGTTTTATCGCAGCCAAAAACATTGCAATGGGTAGATTTCAATAATAGCACTATGGGGAAGAGTAGCCTTTCCGTCAAGTCCACAGCTGTTATTTCTAAGCGAACACAACATCTCTCAGAAACAAAGTATATAGCTGGATGTCACGTGCCTTGTCGGATTTGATGCGCACCAGGAGCGTGATATTATTGGACTAGACGGCGACGGAAAAACAAAAGCCGGCTGGCGGAGAGCCGAGAAGGGCCGAGCCGACACGGTCAGTCACGCGACGCATTTTGAGGAGGCTTCTACGCACGAGCAAATGGAAATGGACGGTGATGCTGCGAACGTGTAAGGTATGGCCAAGAATGAGATAAAAAGAACAAAATAAATATGAGCTAACCGTCTCAGGTAAAAGTTTGGATATTGTGGTATGCCCTAACAGCTCGTTACTTATGTTGGTCTCGTTTCCATCCAGTGAACCCAGCCTTTGACTTTGTGACCATCTATACGGCAGGCAATTTAAACCATGCAATAACAAAATATACTACGATTTTGGTGATGCGTGCCCTGTACTTTGACGTCACTTTCGCCAATGCCATATCTAGCAGGGGGAACAACAGGACACAAGCACATTTTATATTGTTGTGCGTTCAAGTGGCGGAATTTTTCAGGAGGCATTTCTGGCAGAACGTTTTACCTGGACGGTTTTGCTGTCTTTGGGTAGCTTTGGGATAGTTTCGAGGCTTTGGGGCTTTGGGAGGCATTGCTAACAGTGGTTTAATGCCAAGATTCTGGACCCCATCACCCCAGGAAAGCAATCTCACTTCAAGCAAGTTCTGACACAATATGTCGACATGCAAAGCCGTGTCGTAACATGACCGCCCCCGTGTCAGCCTGAGTCTTTTCACCCGTGACTAATTGGTCATCAGCATGGGCAACAAAGGCAGGACTGGAGTGCGGACCCACATGATTGCCAGGCTTCGGACAGAGCCCCGATACCCTGCCGACCGACCTGAGAGGCCGACGGATGCGCGATGCCGCTTAAAGCTAAATAGTACGTTAGATAAATCTGATTTATGAACTTATGTGTCATACCCTGAGGCTGTCTGTTATTAGTAGCGAATACAGGAATATCCAGCTACCAATGTATAGCTTTCACTTCACTGTGAGATTCGTAATTTACGATTCCGATATTTTTGCGGATGGTTTAAAATGCAAAGTAAGAGCAGCGATAAGTTTGTGATCGATATATACCAAAATTTCCAAAATGATGGTGCATTCAGATATCACATACATTGCGTAAAACAAGCAAAATAGGTGCTCTGTTTCAATGTTGTACAGCGTACGACCGATTTAATACCTTTCCTTACAAATCCGACACTATGCAAAGGAACACTTTGCCGTTTCAGTCGAGTACGCAGATATGGTTACGCCCGTTCTGCTCCTTGATCAATGTAGGCTAATGTATCTAATTCAAGCTTCCAGAGTGTAACGCTTGTCCTATTTCTAGTTTACCTGAACAAAATAATGCATGTATGCATGTATATATGTATATATACATCAACACCTTGATGCATCTCGATAAGCATACGCAATAGCGCGATGAAATGCTGGATGGGTTATCAGACGTCACACTAATAGATGAAAAACGTCTCATCTTAGTATTTGCCGAAAACCAGTTTAGTCTCGCTGCGCCCCTGTTTATGGCTTTGGTGAGGCTCATCGCATGCCTCATACGACAGCGGTGGCGTGTTATCTTATTTCGTTTGAAATTATTTATTCCCGTCAGTTTTACCAGCAGCTAGTTGCTAGTTTGAGTTTGCCAGTTCAGCTGGTTCGACAGAAGATAACTGAGAATCAGTTGCGAAACGTGGTTCTCTTTGTCTGTCCACGTCAACGTTAGTTGTGGTTTTGCGTACGGCTGCAGGCTGTGGAGAAGTCGCATAATACCTTGGAACAAAACTGGTATATTACACAAAACTAACACGACCCGTATCTGATGACTGATAGCAATAAATGTACGCAATGAGGAATTACAAGTTGCGCTGGTTCCAGCCGTAAACATCAATTGATCCTGAAGCACATGGCGAGGGAAACGGGACTCGCAATCTGACGGGCCGCGCCTTTAAATGACATCGAGCATGAAAGCTGGACGGCAGCACGGCCGCAGTCACGCACGCGCTTTTAGCGCGCGGTTCAAGCCGCGCTGAGCACACTTTCCCGGACCAGACCTCCAGGCTGACGCGAAACAGCTCTCTCCAGCTCATACGACTCACTGCACTGATCAGCGTTCCGTCTGCTCGGCCACGACATGGGAGCAGACTCAATGGATCGGAGCTTTCAGCGCACCCATCCATCCCAGTCAGGTCGAGAGCTCGGCCTCTGCCGACGGGCCCGGCGCATTCGGACGCGCTGCAGGAGGGGTTGTGGATAACGTTGGCTTTCACCACCGGTCGCGTGTGGCAAACCGGGGATATTGCTTTCAGATGAAATCCAATGCGCAGCACAGCACAGAGGCACAACAAAAACACCTCGCAAAAGCTTTTCTTAGGCTGGCACACTGGTGTGGTTACTTGGACCAGAGCCCCAGCGGGTGAGCGTCTCATCGTGGAGCCCGTGCGCGTGTATATCCCTGTCTTGTGTCCACTGATCTGGGAATGGATGCATCGGGCCGAAAGTTTTTTTTTGTTTCCGAGGGTACGCGCATTGCCCCGGTTTGGGAAATTATGATACATATATATATATATATATATATATATATATATATATATGCATGTGTGTATATGAAACGCGTATGCATGTTGGCGGTCTTGATGAGCTGGAATCTCCAGAATCGCATTAGCCAACGCCGCACAAGAAGCTCCCGCCCCATGTGGCTGTCAGGTGAACCTGCATGACTTGCCAAGGTCAAGGCGCTGACCCTGAAGCGGGTACGGGTGCCGACCCCGTACCCACGCCGCGAGTGCTCTGACCCACTGACACAGCCGCGACCAAACAAAACCCGCGGAGAGCAAACAGCGCTCCCGCGCTCCCCCAGCAGAGGGGGGGGGGGGAGCCCTGAAAACACCCTCTGCGGCCGGGGCGCGGCCGATGCCAAACTGACCTCGAGTGGCGGCGGCGGCGGTCAGACACAGGGCGGCGAGCAGCAGCACGGCTGCCGGCCGGGCCGCGGCCATGACGGACTGACGCGTGCACCTCGTGCCGGCCCGCTCACAGGTGTGCCGCGCCGCCGGCCATGTTGCCGCTCAGATAGCGCGCCGATCGATAGCGATACAGTGGCGGCCGGCGGCCGCGCGCCACGGAGCATGTGCGTCGGCCCGGCGGCCGCGTGACGTCAGCGCTCCGGCCGCCGGCCGGCCGCTGCCCAGCCGAGCCGCTCCAAAAAAGCCCCCCGTTCAATAGGCGCGCGCGCGTAGGCTCGGTGCGTTGCCCCACCCCGGACGCGTGCCGGCAGCTGCTCGGCGGGCGTGGAGCAGGCCGAGATTGCCGTCTCGCGGTCGGCACGTCGCCGGAGGGCGTGTGATGAGCACGTGAATGCCGTACCAGCGCGGCGGAAATATTTCCCTTTAAACCGCCTGACGCGTGTCACGACAGGTTATGCCGAACCAGATGATATGTGGGGCCGACGCACTGGACGAATACACTTTGTTGGAGGCTTGTCGGCGTTGTTGATAAGATATTGCAACCCGTTTTATTGTTCGCGGGTCGAGGGATGACCTTTGTATGAGACCAAGGTCATGGACGTTCACTTGCCATTTTTCATATGCTGCAATATTGTCATGATTGTCGGCACAAACACGTTGAATGAGATCATAAAAGATGAGCCAATGTCACCCTAGCCTGACACTGGCTCAGCATAGGTCAGACCGGCTTCGGAATGCAGTACTGACATATGGCGCGGCTAATGGTGTGCTCTAGTATAGAGATTAAACGTAATATGGCTTAAAAAGGCTGCATATGTGGGCCAGGTCAGCCTAGGCTAATTAGAAGCCACACAAGGCAGTTGTACCAAATATGGGGTGAGAATCTAAAAATTCGACATTCGGTAAATTATCTGCGGGCATTCCTGCTCGGCGTACAGGTCCATCGCATGCACTTATTACCAATCGTTGCATATGTGCTATGGCTTAATGTCTGATTTGAGTCAGTGGGTTACGAGTTACACAATAAAAACGAAAATGCCACGATCATGAAAACGCGTCAACACCTTGAAAATGCCTTTAAAGTAAAGAACCCTCATTTTTACATTAATCAGGTTCAAAAATGAGCGCGGCACGGCTCCGGGAGGTCATAACTGCCTACGACAGGTGGTTCCAGGACGAGGCCGCACGATATGAAAACACCATACGCAGCATAGACAGCCGGAAAGCGCTCCAAAATGCCGGCCACCGCCGACCTCGTGAGACGCTCACTCGCAGCGGCCAGAGGGATGAACAGCGACCGGACCGCAACCGGGGAACGGGGTCATATAGGGTCTAGAAAACGCCAATGTGGACGCGGCACTTACCAAGGTGATTGATTTCGCGCCACCCCAGCGACCTAATTGCCAGCGAAATATGATCTGGACTCCGCGCCCCCGGGACAATCATGGCCGCGAGATTTACGACTTCTCGCACCCAGCCGAGATAGGCGGCGCCCGGGCAGTACAGGATATGGGGAAAACATGGGGCTGGATAAGGAGTTTGCGAGTTTCAAGTGTGAGCTGATGACGAATCTTATACAGGCAAAGCAGGATGGATCTACATTTCTTGACTAACTTGGATATAGGCTCTTCAGGGACAATCGATGATCACTCCAGTATCTTCATGGACGGCAAGGGGGGTCGACATTAAGTTGGAGATGTTGAGATTGCAGGATGAGTTTTGTTGATGACTTGGGTCACGCCGACTAGAAGCAGGGTGGTCTTGGTAGGGCTCTTCTTCAGGGAACTGGCGGTGAAGAAGGACTGGAGGGCAGGGATGCTTTCCTCCCGTCGGGATTTCAAGGTGAACAAGAATTCGGGGGCCGGCGGAGCCTAGGAGCTCGGTATCGTCGGCTTAGGAAACCAGACGCCCGTGGGGTAGGTAGGATAGAAGGTCGTACATAAAGATGCTGAAGAGGATGGAACCCTACAGGGATCCCTGAGGGACACCGTAGGATAAGGGAAGGGGCGATGGACCACCTCTCACCAACTGGCGCCGTCCATCAAGTTACCTTTGGAACTGTCCAGGATCGATCCTGGGCCTCTACAGCTTGGTAAGGAGGATGCCGTAGTCAATGCTGTCGAAAGCTCCACCCAGGTCTATGGAGGTGACAGCGGCGACACCTGCTGACAGGCAACCTTTTCGCATATATTCCACAACACAGATGAAATTGGTATAGGTCTCAAATTGTTGGTTGCGTCACTTGCGCCGGACTTGTGAAGGGGAAGAACCTAAGCTAACTTCCGCGCACATTGAAAAACGCAGGTGGCGATGGAGGTATGGACTACATGAGCCAAGTAAGCCCTGATGAAAGGGAAGCAGTTTTTAGCGCAAGCAGCGGCACACCGGCAGGCCACAACCAACAGCTCTAGATGAGGACACCTCGGCTGCGATTTTGGACAAACAGAGGCGTCCAAGACATAATTTTACACAAAACCCTATGCTACATCGCAGTTCACGTCGTTTAGGCCCTCATAAGGCAGCGTGTTATTCTTCTTTATTTTTATTATTCTTCTTTTTTTTACTCTCAGTCACGTATGACATTGCAATACACGGGAAGAAAGTGCTTCCTAAACAAAATTACTTGGCAGGTTTATCCTGGGTGTAGCATAATATATGCACAGCCGGATTTCGGCTTTGCTAGAGCATGCGCAATATCAGTTCGGGTAATTGTAGGACTGTTGCAATGCATGCGCTTTTCAGGTTTCTGATATAATTTACTCCAGAAACGTATAGTTTGGCATCTGTTTTCCTGGGACACTTTTTGACCCTGCTTTACGTCCAGGTTTGAACTGATATCTGATGTAATCGGTGGCATGGGTGAGCCATTTTAAGCTGCTACCAATATTTGACACTATTGTATGAGTTTAATTCTAGCGCGCAGTGCTACCTAGCGGTTCACTATTGTACCGCAACGTAACGATTAAATTCTGTTGCAGATGCTTTCATTTGTACTTGTATTTCATCGCTGGACACTCCATTAAGTTGGCGACGCATTCGTATTCCAATTCAGCGACGAGTTCCGATTCCAGTTAAAATGGGTCTCCACGTCAAACACAACCTGACGGTTATGCAAATAAACAAACAGCATGGGCAAACGGTTGCTCCATCTCAAACAGCTTGACCTACAAAAGTCAGCGTATTAACTAAAACAGTAAAAATGACGCTTAGGAGATTCCAACAAAAGAAAGAGCCATAAGAAAGTCACGCGTGCATCTCAGCCAAGCATGAAAGTAACCAATTTCCAATCTCAACTTTTAAGGTCGTGAGCAAGGCAAAGGAGCGGGGTAACGGACCATTTTGGTTTATGAGAACATTCACAAATATGACGCCATCGGCGGGCCAGGAATTCATTCCAGCCTGGGCTGCCAACAATGCGTGAACCAAGGTTAATTTTTAAGGGTACCTTCAAGCTCCAAGGCAGGGTAGCGCCGTGCTGCTGCTGGGTGACGCTGCTGTTTCTACTGCCGTTATATGGTACTAGTGTCTTAAAACGCGGCGGTATCAGGACGCCAGCTACGAATTCCTGCCCGGGTCTCCACAAACACATTTACACGTTCTACCTTCGAGGACGAATTCAAGGTCAAAGAACGGGTTAACACTGCATCGTCACTGTATGGGACCGACTTGTGCAAATCAGGCGACATTAGGAAGACTGATGCCCATTCCAGCCTCAGGTAATAAAACGCCTTTCTTCAGTCGAATGAAGTGATTGGAATGCTCAAAATGCAAAGCTCTAAGGTCAAAGGACGAAGTAGCATCGCAATGCCGCTGTATAAAACTGATGCTGATAAAAAGGGTACGTTATGAGAAGCAGGTGTTCATTCCAGTCAGACTTTTTCAACCTCCATCTTCGGAGCCAATTACCGCCTTTAAAAGACTCATCGCAAAATTACAAGGTCAGATGGCTGGGTAGCGTCGCATTGCATAGGACGGACGTTGATAAACAGGATGCTATCAGTTTCATACAACGGCACTGCGGCGCTGCCCCGTTGTTTGACTTTGCCATTCTGTGTTTTAAGCTGCTTCTGTGTGCAAGTGGTCACGCGCCGCCGAGCGCAATAATCGGATTGTCCATTCATATCACATATTGCCCACATACATTACCAGTGCGACGGATATTTAGATACATAATGGCAGACTGGGAAGCCCAGGACTGCAGCTAACCAAAAAGGTTCGACGGAAACGTGTACGCTGAGAGCATCGTGTTATTGTATCTGCACACCTACCGGGTTATGATATGCGGCTGACCGCGCGCTGTCGAGCGCGTTTGCAGGAATCTAACAGTGAGCACTTGCCCCGGCGAACCTTCAGATTCCTATCTTAACGATTACAAGTGAATAAAACAAGGTCAGGCAAGGAAAATGAGGGCAGATAAGCTTAGCAACGTTCACAAAAAATGCGTCCACAAATCACAGCGCAAGGCTATCGAAAGCTCAGGCCATAAAACATTCGTATAGAACCAACTATACCTTCAAACAAATCATGTATCCAGCAGTGCCGTCGCCTGACGCGAGTAACTTTTATATTCTGACTTTCATTATATCCGTATTTTGCAAATGGCAGACTCGCAAGCGATGAGCACGCGGCAGTTCATATACTTTGATGCCCCGATAATGATCCACTCATACAGGGCCACAGGACATAGCATCTATGCAATATTCGAAGCAAAAGACCATAGCATAAACCCATACGGACAGACCATAGAGGACCATAGCGCTCTTCCGATGAGGCCGACGAGGCCGACACATTTCTTACCCGACAAGCGGAGGGAAGCTGACGCTGTCATTAACTACTTACTCTTGAACTACATAGAGCAAATGGAGTACCGGGATGAAAGTCCAGCGCGTTCGTAGTTGTTTAAGCTACGTAAATGTGTCCGTTGTTTTGGGGCCCAGGTCAGTTGATGGACCTTCCAGGCTGTGATAATGGTCTTACGGACATACCAGAAATGGGACGTAACGTTCTCGCCGACATTATTTCCAAAACTTAAAAAGCGGAAAAAGGAATATGTAAAAACA